AGAGTGGACAAGAAAAAAAATGGAGGAAATGTTGACTGTAGATTAAAGCATTTATTCAAGCTTCCCAAGGAGCAGAGTGTAAACCTGGCACATGATTCCGAGCCTGGCTGAACTGACAGCCTCTGGTGTTCTCTGTTGCAGAAAATCAAAATGGCCAAAGTTCCCAGCCTGTTTCAAGACCTGATGGAGTGTTACAGGTAAGATATGTGTTCTCTCTCTTATGTCTGAATAAAAGTATCAGGGCTCTGACTAGAAGTTATAGTAATAAGCATCTGGTCTGGCCAGCTGCCTGAAGTAAATGAAGAGATACATACACTTCTAAAACCTAGGCAGATTCAGCTGAATACTCAAGAAAGACAAGCACCTAGCATATTAAACTCACACAGCACGTAATAACAAGAAGAAACATGTTAAACTGAGATTGCATTGATTGGAAAACAGCCTTATTTTAGAAAAATTATCTTTGAAGTCTGTTGAGTTCAAAGTTAATTTCAACATATGCACAGCATTAGCTGAGTTCACATGCTCTGCCCAGTCTCAAGGAGATTTCTTACTCAGATTAGGAAAAGGAATTGGCTACCCATAAATTCGAGCATGTAAATGCACACAGAATCAAACTTCATTCTGACAGGAAAAAAAAGTTGAAATTACAGGACATTTTAAACAAGCACGATAATTACACTACCTGTAATATTCACTAGCACAAATTGTTGCTATGAACTGTTGAATCAGAACCGATTCATAGCTGACTTTAAGCAGGTTTTCAGAGGCTATAAATTACACAGAAAGAGATTTCCCACCTTTCTCCCAAGGAACAACTAACTGGTGGATTTTAATTCTGTGTTTTGGCAGAACAGCTCCTATCAAATAGGCAGCCAGATCTCCTAACGCAAACTAGACTACCAAAATGTTACCTGCACATCTTGCCAAGTATAAATTAGTACATCTGTTCTACTGAGCACATGCAAATGATGTGTAACATATGATAAATTTGGTTTAAATAAATGGAAGAGTTTCCAAAGTATTTCTTTCCTCTTGAGTTTAACCTTTCCCTGAGGTTCAATAAAGACTTTGTTAGCCAAACCCAGTTTTTTTATAAATAAGTGCAGAACAACTCTAAGTCTTGTCCTGATTGCTATTAACTCCAAATTAGTAAGATATGTGTGCACGTGTGTGCAGTCCTTTAATTTTCAAGATGACAGAAATGCCACATGTATGTGTTACCCAGAGATAATGTGGTCATTAAAACATGTTGCCCAGAGCCCATGGTGGAATAACAAACAGAACTACATTCTCGTCATCTTGTTTTAACAGTGAAAATGAAGAACACAGTTCCAACAATGAGGACTTCTCTCTGAATCAGGTAAGCAAATGACTAATTCTTAGAGGACTGCTATTCTTACACAGCAGTTTACTGTTGTATGCTGTCAAGTCAGAACCAACCCATAACTGACTGTCCATCAGGTTTTCAGAGGCAGTTGAATCCCAAGGGAAGAGATTGCCCATCCTTCTCTCATGGAACACCTGATGGATTCAAACTATATGCCTTCAGGGTTTCAGTGTAGCTTCTTACTTCTAGGCTACCAGAGTTCCCAGAGTTTCTTATTAGGAGAGAATGATAATTGTTTAGACCTCAGATACTTTTGTTTTAACCTTGCTACAGCTTGAGAGACATGTATGTCTTCACAGTAAGGCAGCCCAGCAGCCTCTCTAAATGAATAGTGGATAGCATCCCTCATGCTTACCTGCTTTAAACAGAATAGAGTATAAACTCCACGGAAACCACAGGGACCAGAGTCTCCCAGGCCAGGTTTCCTCAGAACATTAATAATGCCATCCTAAAACAGCCCCTTCAGGGTGGCTCACAACGACCTATCTCCTTAAGGTAGACCATGATGTCATGAGCATCGTTCCTGGCACGAGCAGCAAAGGTTAGAGAGAGTCCATGAAGCTGAGGTAGAGGAAGCTGGTCAACTGAAAATGAGGATTCCATAGCTCCTCATCTGAACTCTACAAATTTTCACAAATTTTTTTTGTTAGTGTCTCTCTGGTACTGACTTCAGAAGTTGTTCATAGTAGTCAGAGAACATTTCTAAAGCAGAGGTCAACTTATCTACCACCAAGAACACTTCATTACATCTCAGTGTGAGTCTTTGCAGGTGGATGGCAAAGTCTTCCCAAGAAATTACATCCTTCTAGGGAAATCTTAGAAAGGAGGAGAACAGAGAGAGATGGGAAGGTGGCCGGGAGGAAGGCAGAAAAGGAGGAGGAAGGTAATAAAACATGGGTTACCCAAGGCTACCTGATTGGGCAGAGCTCCTCCTGAAAAGTGTTCCTTTGATAGCTATGGCAGCCTCTCAGTTTCCATTTCCTTCTTCACAGAAATCCTTTTATGATGCAAGTTACAGCCCACATCATGAGGTCCACATGGAGACACCTCTGTCCCTGAATACCTCTGAAACCTTGGAAACAACCCAGCTTACCTGTAAGGAATATGCATCAGTGGTGACAGGCAAAGAAGGAAAGATTCTGAAGAGGACACGCCTCAGTTTAAATCAACCCATCACTGATGAAGACTTAAAGGCCATTGTCAATGATCAGGAAGAAGGTGAGGATCAAACAAAATAATATGCTTGTTTTCTATTCTTAAATAAATGGTAATAATAGAGTGAGTATAGGGGAGCAAAACTCAGAGTAGCAAGAGGACAACCAGGTACTTAGTCCAGAACACAAAAAAAGTAAACGTTTTTAAATTGTGGTGTGGGTGAAAGTTTATAGAGAAAATTAGCTTTTCATTCCACAATTCACACACATTTTGTTTCATAATATTAGCTGCAATCGTTTCAGTGTAACAACACTTTTCCCTTTCCTCCATTAGTTCCCCAATTCCATTCTCTGAAGAGTGCTTTCCTCATGAGTGCTGTTGTTCACTTTATATGTCTATTGGTTGGCTGAAAGAGAATCCTGGGGAATGGGTGTTTAAGGGCCTTGTTGTTATTGTTATGTGCCATTGAGTAACCTGCAACTTATAGCAACCTTAAGTATACTAGCTCTGAAACCTGTCCTATCCTGAGCCAATCTCATCATCTCCACAGACATAATCCCATTCCTCCAGTTATTGAGTCAATCCATCTTATCCAGGGTCTTCCTCTCCTGCACTGTCCCTTCACCCTTCCAAGCATGAAGTCCTTCTCCAAGGACTGGTCCTTCCTGACCACATGCCCAACATATCTGACACAGAGCCTCAAAATCCTTGCCTTAATAGTCTAAGAGCCATCGTCTCTGGAATTCCACCAGACTTGATCAGACTTGTAATTCTGACCTTTTCTATGATCTTTAATTTGTTCCACATTTTTCTCCCACTCTTTTGGACTTCTATCATGATCCCTATCAGAGTTGGAGGTAGTGACAAACTGGGAACCATCCATTCTTCAGGTCTCGCTGTAGGGGAAGCTGAGGTCCACTGGATTGTTTTATTTTTATTTTCTTCATTTTACCTGCACTAAAGAAGGCAATGCCAGCAGTTGCACCTTAGATGGACACTCACAAGCTTTTGAAGGCCTACTTAACCAAAGCAGGATGTAAGACATTGTCTATATAGACTACATTATGCTCGTTGACCTCGATTCCTTGAGACTATGATCCTAATTCTCTTAAGAATTACAGGCCTAGTGGCTCATTCCTTTCAGATGTCTGTTTATGGCTAAGAAGTTTTCATATTTTTTCCCAAGGCTATACAAGATATATGGCTATATTGTAGCATATAGATATAGAAATAGCCTCTGCTAATCCTATCTAGATGTAGTTCTCTTCACCTTCCTAAACCTGATTCAGTTTCCTATGTATAGGAAGACATGCAATAGATTGTTATTACTATAGAGTGTTTGTTATTACTGTTACTTCAGAATTGAGTATGTATTTCTTTTGTTGCCTTTAACTCTTGTGCACTTTCCAGTGTCTCCCTTTGCCTTGGTCATGTTGTGCTGACATCTCATCTGCACCCTGATTGTGTACTGCTTTTCCCCATCACCCAAGTTACTGGATATTTGCTCTCTACATAGTGAGTTCCCCTCCTTTCCCATCCTATCCCTACTAACTGTGGTATCCTTGTGAACCACAGAATGTTTCTAGTGTAAACCTTTTCTTGGCTTTTTATAATAGTGGCATCATACATATTGCCCCTTTATAATTATTTCATTCAGGTAAATGTCATCTAGGTTCACTCACATTATGGGGTAGTTTATGTATTCATTGTTCCTCTTTAACATTGTGTAGTAGTTCATTATACTTTGGTTACTTTTTTCCATCTCTTTGCTATTGTGAACAGTAATGTGATGAATATGGGTGTCTAAAGAGGGAAAATATGGGACATGGAAGTATAGGACCATTAGTATCTCTCTGAAAGGGCCTGCGGGAATGAAATTAACACAGCCCGTCACCACTCCAGAGGAGAAAGCAGATCGGAAACCTTTAGCCCCAGCCCTATGGTGTCTCTCAAGCCAAAGCAGCAGAGGTTCATTTATTCATTGATGCTCACAGTTATGGTACCAACAATGGAGTTTATTAGAGAAGGAAGTTGGAAAGTAGAGGAGGCAAAGAATAGCACAGTATCACCCAAAATAAGTCCAGATTTTAGCCCAACAGTTCCAAGGCACAGCTCCTCAGTAAGTCTAGGCTCCAGTTTCAATTCAGCAAGCAGCCTTTCCTTCCATGATTAAAGGCAAGAACAGAAAAGACACAACTGTGACTAGCATAAATGCAAAAAGCCTCAGGTCACATCTTGGCACAGTTTGTCTACAGCAACACCAATCTCTTTACCACCAGGGCCTTGCTCTCACCAGGGTCTTGCCACTGCAAACCTTGCTCACCTCAAGTTTTCTTGCTCCAAGTCTTGCTGCCCAGTGTGATAAGCACTCTTTATATTGCTGCTTCAGCTGTTGATGATTAGCAAGATCATACGGATTTGCAAAACCACATATCTGCAGTTAAGATAGCTGGAGACCAGATTGGCTAATAGCTAAAATAAAACCAATTTTTAGGTTAACACCATAATGTTGTTGTTGCTAGGTTTGTTAAGTCACTTGCAACTCATAGCAACTCTACGTACAACAGCTCTAAACACTGTTCTATCCTGTGCCAACCTTACTGTCTCTGACACACCTACCCCCATTGTCAAGTGTCGGAATCAATCCATCTCATTGAGGGTCTTCCTCTCCTGCACTGTCCCTTCACTCTCCCAAGCATGTCGCCCCTCTCCAGGGACTGGTCACTCCTTGCAACATGTCCAAAGTATGTCAAACGAAGCTTCAGGATTCTTGCCTCGAAGGAGAAGCCTGGCTTCACCCTCTCCAGGATGAACCTGTTTATTCTCCTCCAAGTTCATGGTATATTCAATACTCTTCTCCAGCACTACAGCTCAAAGAAATCAATATCTTTCTATCACCCCTAGTCATTGGCCAGCTCTCTGATACATAACAAGTGATTGCAAAGACCATGGCCTGTATCAGGTGCACCTTAGTCTCCAGATTGACATTGTTGCTCTTCAGTACTTTGGAGAGGTCACTGACAACAGACTTTCCCAATGCAATACATCATTTAATTTCCTGGCTGCTTGGTGCCAAGATTATTGATTGTGGAGTCAAGCAAACTAACGCTGTTAACAATCTCAATCTCTTCACCATCTATTATAATGCTGCCAATTGGCCTAGTGGCAAGAATCTTTGTTTTCTTGATATTAAGCTTCAATCCATATTGAAGGCTGCAGTCCTTGACCTTCTGCAGCAAGTGCTTCAGGTCCTCCTAAGTTTGAGCAAGCAGGTTGTGTCATCCGCATAAGGCAGATTGTTGATGAATCTTCCACCAATCTTGATGTGACTTCTTATTCAATTCAGTAGTGAGACTGCTGGATCATACAATATTTCCATTTCCAACTTTTAAAGGAAACACTATACTATTTCCACAGAGATAATACCATTTACCAGTCCCATCGGTAGTCCATAAGGCTTCCTTTCATCCTCACAAATATTTGTTGTTCTTTTCTGACTTTTTTGTTTTCTTTTGCTGTTTTTGCTATTATTACTAGAATGAAATCTCACTGTTATGAATTTTTGTGTTTATCTTGTACTTTGTCACTTTGCTAAACTCTTCTAGAGTGTCTTTTTAAAGGAGTCTCTGGAATTGTCTATGTGTAAGAGCCTATCATCTACAAATCGGGGTAGTTTTACTTCTTCCTTACCAATTTAGCTGTCTTTAATTTCCTTCTTGCTTTTTTGCTCTGGGTAGAAATTCTAACACAGTATCAAATGGGAGTACAGCAGGGGAGGGGTGGACAGGGAGGAAAACGTGCAACAATGGATGAATGGAAAAATAAAATGAAAAAATTACCTATAATTTGTTATGATTCATAACTGAATGCCTTTGCAGATTCAATAAACAAAACAAAACCCAAAAAAAAAACCAACAAAACAAATGGGAGTACAGTATTGACATCCTCATTCATATTCACAATGGGAATTTTTTCAGTCTCATTCCAGTGAGAAAAATCAGTCTTAATGGTCATTGAGGTTTGTGTATATATGCCTTTAAATATATCAAGGATTTTGCCTTCTATTTTTCTTTTCCTGAGCATTTTCATTAGACATTGACGTTGTTGTTGTTGTTATGTGCCAACAAGTCACCTGCAACTCATAGCGACCCTGTGTACAACAGCTCTGAACCCTGCTCTAACTTTAGCCAACATTATTGTCCCCCACATATCTACACCCATTATCCCAGTCACTGAGTTAATCCATCTCATTCAGGGTCTTCCCCTTCTGAGCTGTCCCTCCACCCTTCCAAGCATAATGTCCCTTCTCCAAGGATTGGTCACTCCTTTGGGTATGTTTACCCAATCTATATAAAATGGAGCTTCAGAATCCTTACCTCCAAGGAGCAGCCTGGTTTCACTCTATCCAGGGCACACCTATCCTCAAATTTCCAGACTGCTAGTACCAAGAGTGTTGATTGTGGATGCCTTTTCTGCATCAATTTATATGATTGTGCAATTCCTTTATTTTAATTATGTGGTAGGTTATATTGTTTTTATAATATTGAACCACCCTTGTTCACCTGTATAATCATGAGGTAATCAAGATACATCATTTTTATATTATTTTGGGTTCTGTTGGCAAGATTTTACTGAGACTTTTTGCATTTATATTTATGAAGAATATTCGTCTATAATTTTCTTCTTTGTGATTTTTTTGGTATCAAGATTATAATTGTTTCATAAAACTAATTTGGGACTATTCCATCCCCGTCTATTTTCACAAATGTTTAAGTAGAATGGATCTCAAACTATCCCAGAGCAATTTGGTAGAATTCTCTTATGAGGCTATCTGGGCCAGGAGGTTTTTATGTGAGGAGATTTACTTTTTTTGCTTTGTTTTTTATTAACTGCTTTCTTCTTTTGTGATGGATCTGTTCAAATGAGCTACCTCAGTCTGTGTTAGTTTAAGCAGATAGTGTTTCCAAAAATTTGTCTACTTCTAGGTTTTTATTTTTTTAAATACAGTTGTTTATAATATTCTAATATCCTTTTTTATTTCAGTAGGTTTTGTTTTGATATTG